ACCAAGCCAAATTCTCCAGAATGCACGTTTTGTACCAAATTGAGTTTCCAAATAGTTTGGCAAAAGTTAATTGAGCTCGGCATTCGGAATGCTCTAGCAGTTCGCAGTGATAGAAGGAAAGTTAAAGACTTGCCTAAAACTTAGGCAATCAGATAAACGAAATCAACGAGATTGAAGATACGATGAGAAATTGTTAGAGAAAAATTAGAAACCTTCCAAAACTCAAATACTAAATGAAAAGAAGGTGTGTCACCTTGAACCGAAAGTCATGGAAACCCTAATGGAATAATGATCTATAAAAGACAGAGGAAGTCAAGGTGAAAGGTACGCTGAACTCTCCTTCTCTTCATGCAATTCTTCTCGTTCCATTACTGATTTAAACATTAGAGTGTCTTCGATCGAAGCACTTCGATCTTGGATAATTTGTTCGTTTTATAAGAAGAAGATTTGGAGATAGTTCAGAATTCTTTTCCAGAAAGTTACATCACGAATTGAGTGTTAGAGGTATTTTCAATTTTTTACTTCTACACCCGTCACCAAGATCCGCCACCCCAGAGACTTAACCCGATCAATATATTTGGATCCACCATTCGCCGTTGGATTGCAATACTCATGATCATGATCAGTTCCTATAGGCAAGCATAAATCAAACATCTTATCGATCGAGTGCAATGGCAAGAGCACGTCGTTGGCCATCTTCTTCTCCGATTCGGTTCTTTGGGTCCCACTGAAATATGGGTGGTGCAAGATCATCCCTTTGATCTTCAATGGTTGAAGATCGGTCGCCATTAGACCTGCTTGATAAGCCAGGTTTCCACCTGCACTAGTCCCACAGATATAACAGTTAGAGAGATCAGCATAGTCACGTACCCAATCATCTTGTGAGTTTCTGACCCATTTAAGCCCTTCAATGGCGTCCTCGTAAGCTGCAGGAAGGCGGTGTTTCGGGGCGAGACGGTATTCGACGGAGACGACAATAGCGCCGACTCCGGTGACTATTCCTTTGCAGAGAACGTCATAAATTATTGAGTTTGCATGACTAAAGACAAAGCCACCACCATGCAAGTAGACAATGAGAGGTAGTTTAGTGGCCGGAGAAGCTTTTCCGGCTTGTCGGGGGAGAAAAAGTCGGAGCCAGGTGTTGTGATTTGGGTTGAGAGGCAGGTCCTTCGTGAGGACAGATGAAGTGCCGTTGGGATCGGCGTTTGGCGGAACGGTAGGGTCTGGAACGCAGCGATCGACCATGCCATTGAGGGTTTGTTTGATTTCGAGAAAAGGATTTGCCTCGGTGGTTTGCAAGGCCGCCGGAACCAGAAATTTATTGTCGGGCATATTGAGACGAATTGTATTGAGAAAGAAGAAGGTGAANGTGGTTTGCAAGGCCGCCGGAACCAGAAATTTATTGTCGGGCATATTGAGACTAATTGTATTGAGAAAGAAGAAGGTGAAGAGTCTGTTGAGATGTGTTGGGAAATCTTAGGTGAAATCCTATCCTTTAATTCGACAATTCCACAATTTTCCTACAGTTTGTTATTCATATATATATCTAATGATTTTAAAGCTCACATCTTTAATTTTTCTAATAATTAGGGGATTTTCTCTTACTCAATTGAAAAATGCTAAATTATTTTAAAAAATTAATTTAAAATTTAATTTGATAAATTATTAGTATTGAATAGGTCGTGGATGCCAGTAAATATTAAGACCCACAATAAAATCAATAATAAATATAAAAAATATATCATGAAGTCAATTTTTTAAGTTTAAGAAACATTGTTCCACTCAATTATTCCAATGCTATGTGGATCCTTATCCTTATATTCTATCAAAATTTTCTCACTTCTATTTTCTATTTCAATCATTTATCATTAATTTCTCCTTAATATGAGGGAATTTTTCTTAACGATAATGTTTTACTTACCAAATTTTGTATTATAAATAATGTGACACAATCTCTATTATTAAATATTAAAGAGACCCAAAAAATTCCATCCAAAAGTCGAGAAGAGTAATAATGTACCTTCTATCTTTATGTGGAATGATTGGAGACATTCAAGCTATCATCAATCTCTTTCACGGGTGAAATAGATCTTGAGTATTTGAGAGTATTTGTATAGAACATTTTAGAGATAGCCTAGATGTAGGGCACTTGAACAAATTTTAACCATTTAATGCAAGGCCAAGAGTCCGTAAATAGTGTGGGTCTCATTTGCACTCATCAAACTACCAAAGCTTTTAAGTTGTAATCTTTTCTGGAGTAATATACTTCTTTTATTTTCTAAAACTCTTTTGTTCTTTCCCTGCTCTTCTCTATGAATTACAAAGAAATTCTTTTGTTCTTCTCTATGAATCACAAAGGGGATAGTTTTTCGATTGACAGACCGAAATATTAGTTTGATTGCAACCTCTATGTCTTGTCTTGTCCCCAAGGTCACCTAAATGGCTATTGACAGACTGAGATACAAGTTTGATTGCAAGTTCTATGTCTTGTCTAGTCCCAAAGCCACCTAAATGGCTACATATACATTCTATCGAGAAATTTATTGTTGAGAGATTATATTGAAAAAGAAGGTGATGGAAGTATGAAGAATGGTAATTGGTTTAAGAGTCTCTTGAGTTGAGATTTCTTCTTCACATATAACCCTTTTAATTATAGTGTTCAAATTATCCAAATCTTATGTGAAACCCTATCCTTTAATTTCACAATTTCCTCATTTCAGTTGGTTTCAATTGATGGATTTCTCTTAGCTTATCCCTTCATTTCAAAGATCATATCTTTAATTTTTCCCAATAATTAGGGAATTTCCTCTTCTGTATTTACTCAATTCCAATCCTTTTTGGATCATCTCTTTCGATCATCAATTATTATTATTATTTTGAGTTTAACGGTTTGAAGTGTTCAAACCAGTTTAAGACGATCATATCTTGGATAAGAAAAGGAATATATTTTTTTTGAGGATCAAGGAAAAAATCGGGCAATTATGTCTCTTCTACAGAGGGAAAGACAATTACGACTTGGCTTCTTGTAGGAAAAAAGAAAAAATAAAGTCAATTATGAGTAAGTGGAGAGAAAAGATCTCCAGAGATTCTTATTTCATTTCATTTTAATCGTTCAACCAGTAACCAATGGCAAAATTCCCTCTTCCAAAATAAGTTTGTTGATATTTTTTTTAAAAGCAAAAGAGATATTTCATTATTTTTAGCGTATAGAATCAAAGAACATTTCTCTGACTTGAAGATAGCTTTCTATAACAAAAAATGGTTATTATTTTAGAAGAATGCCTTCGTTATAATTTCTTGCAAAATTTGACTGATCTTTTAAGCCTTTCATGCTCTCCAGAGATATAGAAAAAAGCGCAGGCCTCACTCATCAAATTTTAAAGGATGTAGGGGTTGTAAATGCATGATATAATAGGATTTTGGAAGAATTTTATCTTTTTAAGTCTAAAAATTTTCATTTTCAGTGAATTTTAGTCATCCAACATTAGATTTGACTATGTGAAAATTTTGAAATTGAATACTTGTAATTTCTATTAATTTCAAAATATCCACCAAGAGATTTACTTGGTTCCATGCATGAAGAGAAAGATGTATTTTGAAATTGACATAATTGGAAAATTCAAACTTATTAGGATCCAGGTTATGTAAGCACGCAAGAAAACAAAACCTAACGCGACATATTCCACAAAACATTTCCTCATCTTTTTTCTCTTAGCATGTCAGATTGAGAGTCCTTTTGAGGCCATGACTACCAACAGTGAAGCAACTCTTTCATATTCAAATCTGTCGGCTTCATTATACTTGAAAAATCTCATAGAACAGTATGACACTAATATTTTCCGCAAATGTCATGATTTTACTATTCTTTTATTTGGGAAAGAAAGAAAATGGATTAACCATGTCATTATCTATGAAAACTTATTCTTGGTCGTGCACGCGCCATACTCGTATACAAATAAAAAATAAAAAAGAATTGAAAGAGATTAATTAGATATAATAATTATTAATTCAAGAAAAGTGTACTATAGAAATTTTCTAAGTAGACATCACAAGTAGCAGTATCAAATTATGACTAAATCGAAAATTCTGATGGATGCTAATGCATGGATTGAATTCCGGACCTAATTGGATCAAAATTGAACTAACAATATAAACTTATTTACACAAAGCACATCAATTGTGACGAGGAAAGTGAGTTTGTGTTGAATCTTAAGGAGTGTGTGTCAAAAAGTATTCTATACATACCCAATTGATTTATTAATTCATCTTTAACGAGTCATGTCATATTGAGTCCGTGTTGTGTATAAAGCGTGTATATATAATTGATATATAAACGAGTCGTATCGTAAAAAAAAAAAAATATTAGTTTCACTCGTATCTAATTCGTTTATTAATTATCTTGTGTCAAATCAACTCTTTTACAAAACGGGTGACATAAAAAAACTAAAACTCATTAATTTTATGTCGTGTTTGTATGATATTAACGAGTCGTGTGATATTTTAACACTTATATTTACAACAACCAGCCTATAAACCGGGCGGATCACAAGTTGGTCACATAATAGTCTTATGGAGGCGTTTCTTTCTGGTAGTACTAACCCGGCCCAATCTAATTACCCAGATCCCACCGCAAACCCTGAATCCAAAATTTCCAGATTTGCTCCGTTTACATTATCAATGTTTACTACTCTCTTTCTAACTATTTCTTATTGTTAACTGTTGTTAATTGCGAGTTAATTAGGAGGTATTAGGGTGAATGGCTTGATCAAGGTTTCAAAATTTTACAAAGTGATCTTGATAATTTTCAAGAGGACAGGTCTTAACACAACAGTAAAGTTGTTCAATTGTGATTTGGAGGTCACGAGTTCAAATTGCTAAAACAATTTTTACTCTTGTAAGGATAAAACTGCATATGTCTAACTTCCTCGTACTCCACAATGTCGGAAGTCATATGCTCTCGAAAGAACCTGCTTATACTTTTCAAACATCAATATAAATCAGTGTATAATAGTAGCATCCAGTGCCTTTGGTTTGCCATATAGCTTTTGGTACTATCAATTATCAAATACCCCTCAATTCATCACACTACAACGCCTTCTAATCATACCTTGCTTACCAGTTAGAACGCCTGAAGAGGATAGCTTCACAAAAGCACTAGAGAAAGCCCGAAAGAAAGCGTCCTGATCGACAGCGAAACGTTTGACAACTGGGGTGGTTCGAAGGTCCGATTGCAGTTCAGCATCAACCCTCAGTATGCCATGGCCTCCCAATGCATTGATATAGTACTGGTTGTCAAATATAAATGTGGTAGGGTCATTTGGAACAAAGCTAGTGTTAGATGTAAAAGACACCAGTGGACAGCTTAATTTCAAGAGTATTGCAAAGCCTGGTTCAATGTCAGCACCACCTTCTGAACTGTAGAGACGATCCAAAAGGTTGAAACAATGTGTCACTCCGATTGTGTGGGCTCCTGCAAATACAACTTGCTTTAAATTCCATGTACAATAGAGTATTTGGGCAAATTGTAGGGGCATAATTATACCTGAATACATAGAGGTACCCTTTGGTTTTTTTAAATATTACTGTAGACCCTTTTAGTTCATGTTTTTCATTTCAGGTTCTACTCTTTTCGTCATATTTTACGATAAAAGTGATGAACTTATGGAAGAATATATAAATTTTACTATTAAGTAGGGCTCATATTTGAGCAAAATTATTTGGGTTTAACTCAAATAAGACTCAACTTAACTCGACGAGCTGAGTTTGAATAATTTTTTAGACTTCTTTAAAAAAACGAGCCTAAAAAGGATAGATTTGAGCTCACAAATCTCAGCTCCTTTATATGTAAAATAATCGGGCTCGATTCAAATTCGACTTATTTTTTAAACGAGTCTGAATTTAAACAAATTTTTTAAACTCGTTTAAAAACCGAGCTCGCAAAGTTCGGTTTATTTAACCGTCCAGCCATTAAATCAATTTCTTTAAAAAAAATATTATAAAAATTAAATAAAAGTGTTGTATCCATCCCATCAACAAAAAGAGTCATGCCTATAAATAAAAAAAATTGCAGCTTAACAAATAAATAAAATATCTACCTAAAATATACATAAATACCAATTTTCATGACATTTTCAGTAGATGATGAAGAAAATAAACAAATAATATTTTTGAATTTTATTTTTATTTTTACTTCATTTTCATATAAACTAGGGGAATAGATAAGTTTTGTTTACATTTTGACCAAATAACACTGTAAAATGATAAATTTTTTAAACATTTAGACCAAACAAAAACTTACACAGGGTGACAATATATTTTCAAAAAATGAAAGGGAAAACCCCGTATATAAAGCATTCAAAGAGGGATGTGTGTGTAATTTCGGTTCAAGCATTAAAATATGCACATGCATGGACATCAACGTCAGTACGTACGGATATGAATAATTATGATATTCAACGAGACATGCCGCAATGAAATTGGTAATTGATATTTGAATTTAATTTGTTGATATAATTTATTTTTTTTTGGATAATATTATTGGTTTAATTTATTATAATTATTAGATTAATAGTGAATTTTAAAAAATATTATAGTTTATTGTCAATCTAATGATTTTTAGTAATTAAATTTAAATATCGATGCTNATAATTTATTTTTTTTTGGATAATATTATTGGTTTAATTTATTATAATTATTAGATTAATAGTGAATTTTAAAAAACATTATAGTTTATTGTCAATCTAATGATTTTTAGTAATTAAATTTAAATATCGATGCTTTATTAAATGATTTGTCAGCAATATACATATATATGAAATATGGAGAAGATTATAGTGCCCAAAAAAAAAATTGATACTTTGAAGAAATTTTGATACTGTTATAAATTTTGTGCGGTGAGATACAAGTTTTTATGTTTGTTTAGAGAAAAAAAGAATTATAACTTTTGGAGTATTTCAAAAATTATAAACGACCACCATAATTTATTAACAATTCATGACAATTGTAAATAATTCTAAAAAATTATAAATAATTTTCAAAATTTGTAAAAGAGAAACCCACAAATTTGATAAAATGACGATAATTTTCGATACCATAGACGTCTCCCAGAAGGACAAATTTGTGGTAGCTTAAAACTATAGAAACATATGTTTTCTTATGAAAAGTTTTTTTCATGTGGGGTCATATGTAAGATTAATTTATTTGATGACATACCCATAATGGCAACTGATTCTTCAATAGTCATCCCTTTCTTGAAGAATAAACGAAGCGTGCCATCAACTCCTATGTCTGCCGGAGGGAGTAAAGCATCTGCAAGTTTATTGCTAGGTGGTGTCGACGAGTCCCTTCGTCCTAGCGGAACATTTATTCTTGGCCCTCCCGACATTGCTACCGCGTCGCGAGCCGCCAATATGAGAATGTCCGCACAAGAAACTACCTGTGGACAAACTACTTCCACCATTGATTTTATTAGGCTGATCGTCTCCCTCTTTCGGATTCCCAAATTCTTACTTGAACTCATCTCCAATGCTGATCTTCCATCATACGAATCCACAAGGATAGAAGCATCACAGCCCTTAATTTGATTCCAAAATCCAAATTAATGTTATATATAGGGTAAGGATAACATTTTTTATACCATTGCAAATAATTGATTGTATATAATTGCTTAAATGAACGAATACCGGCCAAGTTTTGCACTCAAAAAAGGAAGTGCTTGCAAAATGTTATTCAAATGGTAACAGGAATCACCCAGGGAAATAAGCATGAACCTGGTCACAAGCTTATGTTCCCAGGGCTCAGTGCAAGAGCTTAGGCTTGCCCTTCCACTTTACTATACTCAACCCTTGAACTTCATATGAGAGAGAGAGAGAACCTGAACTTGGCAGTCATGGAACATGAGCCTCAAGAGAGAAGCTGGTGTGGTGGGATCAGAGAGAGAGAGAGATTGGAGGCCTGCCCGAACAATGTTCTCAACTTGAGGACAGGATTGCTCATAATAATCGTAAGAAAGACCTCCTCCTTCAACCTTTAGCCTGAAGATTGCCAAAATGCTCAGTACAACCACGGTTCTGAGATCCATACGTTTACCCAACATTTCGTTTTTTTTTTCGCTTCCTAGAACCCAACAGTTTTTTTTTTTTTGATCAGATAGAACCCAACAGTTCATGAGAAATATTTAGTGCATTCATGGCTTTGGGGTG